TTAACAATCAACAGAAAAGCATAAATAATTTTTCTTGAGTTAATAATTTCAGTCACCATTCATATAAAGTTAGCAAGTAGTCATCTACTGTAGAAGAAACACTACATATTAAATTAAAGAAGTTTTAAAAGTTTAAAAAGTAGAAATATAAGCAGAGGGAGAATTTTATCTACAAATTTGCTTTATAAACTTGAAAAATCATTTATCATTAGATATTTAAAAAATCATTTATCATTAGATTTTTAATTTTCTATGTTACAAAACCAAGTGTTTATACATAAAAATATCAATTTTCAGAGTGCCTTCTTTAAATTATATAACTCTAGAAGAAAATTTAAATAATAAACTAAGAAGTCAACATATTTCAATATAGCTAGTATGTGACTCACTATTTTACAAAAAACTACATATTGAAAATTGTCCTCTATCATTGTATCATATGTATATAGTTAAGAAATAAAATGAATTTGTTTTTTTTTATTTTTTTGACAATATTCAACTGATACCTTGTGAAAACAATGATACTGTAATCAATCACAACTGCTTAACTCCTTTCTTATTGAAGATTCACAATAACTCTTTAAGGCATGTGTAATTATTATCATTACCCTTATACAGATGATGAAACTAAATATAGGTTAGGATACTTGCCCAATTGGAAACATTTTATAAATCAGTACTGCCCAACAGAAATATTTTGTGAACCAAAAATATTCTTTTGTCCTATAGCAAGAAGAAGACATAATCTAAAGGGGTTTAAGAGAAGGCAGAGAGGTGGCTCTGAGATTGGAAAAGAGACTCTGAATTTACATAAACCATCTTGGAGGATAATGAGATAATCTGGTTTTAGGAGGAGGGTGGCCAAGAATCAAAAAGACAAGAAAGCAAGCATCTCAGAGAACAATAACAAAAATATATGATTTCAATATGTATTTGTAATCTGACCTGGTGACAAACACATATTACCTGTTTAAGATAACAGCATTCTTTGTAGGACTAAAGACAAAGCTGAGGGTGGGAAATAGGGTATGATTTTAGTGACCTTGACCTATTTGATTACAAATAAAATTTACAATAATAATAAACTTATCTATAGTCTAGTTGGGAAGATTTTTTTTCTTTATTCTTTGTGCTAGAGCTCATCCATTTTAGCACAGAAAATCAAATTTACTGAAAAGCCATTGCATATACAGTTAGACACAAGAATAAGATTAAAGAGAACAGGTTGGGATAGTTATTTACATAAATGTTGCATTGCAGAGGTAGATAGGGCAATTCCTATGCATAAAATTCATAAAATACGGTGTATTTAAGTAAATGACTACTATAAAATTTCACCTCAGTCTTTACCATTGTTTCAATTTTATAGTTTTGGTTAACAGTAAAAATTTCAATTTACGCTACTAGTTTCCCAAACAGTAATTTATATGAGAATTGAAGAGTCCTGAAGAGCACAGATTCCTTAAATTCTTGTGAGTGCAAAAATTTCTGTATGGGATAATGCATTTTGTCATTTTATAGCTTGTAATTGGGCATGCTTAAATGGCCAATGTTAAATCATAATAAGCAACATGGATTAAATAATAAATGTTTGAGGAGATTGACACATTTAACCTAATTTGTACATTACTCAATGTATACATATTTTGAACATCACATGGAATCCAATTAATTTTTATATTAATTTAAATTTTTTTTTAAAAAATTTGTTTCTATATTTCAGTTAAAATAAGTCTAATTTTAAAACAAAAAATAAAACATGCCATGATATCAAAACATTTTAAATTTTTTTAATGATATGTACTATAAAGAATTGAGCTACATTTTATATTATTTTTCCCTAAAAATAAGAATATTATAAGCCAAACTTGCAGCAGTTTGGACTATTCATATTTTATGCTCCTAGATCCCTCTGTGTACATGAATAGCCTTGTACATACATGCACTTAATAAATGTTAGTGAATAGAAAGAAATGCCATATTTTTATACAAGTATGTTGAATTTTATCCAAGTGTAATGGTATTTTTACAGAGATAAAGTCTCATTTTTCCTTTTTAATTTATTTTTCAAAGTGTAGATTTTATTCATTGATAATGCTAAGCACTGCTTATCTCTAAAACATAACAAAACAATTTTTAAAAGCTTCTGTATTTTTAAGTTGCTTCCTTTTTTCTCTTGTCCTTAGATCTGCACTTTGAAACAGTAACAAAAAAGACAAAAATAATAAACAAAGCTTCCATTTAAATCTGGATGGTAGATTATCTCTTTCATAGAAATAATTAAATGCTGGACTAAAATAACCCCTTTAAAGTATTTTACACTGGCAAGAACATTAGGATTCTTGAGGAAAAAAAAATCCAAGAAAATTAAAGCACAGAAAACAGAAAACTTGTTCTGATGATACCTGCCTAACTTAGATAAACTTGAATATCAGTTTTATGACCTTAAATGTCTCTGGGGAAAGAGGAAGAAATCCAGGAAACACTGAAGGGAACAAGGACCTGGAGACCCCTAACTTCTCCCATATGCTCACTGATACATAAAACTGTCCTCAGTAACCTGAACTATCCTTTAAGGGCAATCTAGAAACATCAATGCTTGTGAGGAGACAAAAGAAAAACTGTCTGTCCTGAATTTTAGCACTGAATAAAATAAAATCTCACATGAATGGCAAAAGTATAAGCTTTAACAATTTTTGGTTATATAAATATGTTTTTGTTAATAAAGAATAAGATATAAACAGTTGACTCACAATTTAGAAGGAGATTAAATAAAATTTAAAAATTCTAAGGTCTTTGAATTTTCAGACGAAGAGTATTAATAAGAGTTAAGTTTTAAAACATTACTATATGTGTTAAAATTTATATGTGCTTCTGTGTTAAATTTTCTGAAGTATAAATAAGCTAATTTTTTAAAATGAAAGCACTTAAGAGAAAAGAAATAATAGAACAGTGACAAAAATGCACAAAATAAGACATTTGACAAATTACAAATGTGCCGTATAAATTCAGGCAAATTATGTATATTTTAAATAGATTTATTTAGAAACACACTTCTAAGAGATGCATGGGCCAATGGACTAATTTTAGAAATCCAAAGGAACCACAATAGAAATTAAAAAAAAATGTTTAGAATTGTACAATGCTATGTATCTATGACTGTTAGATACAAATAAAGTATTGCTAAGCATGGAATTTATAGTCTCAAATGTTTATATTGGAAGGTACCCCAAAAGACTGAGAAGGAGTTAGATATAAATCTGTAATAAATGTGTGAAATGAATCACAAAACAAAGTCAAGAAAGGAAAAAGTCATAACAAAGAAAAAATATAATAGAATTGATAAAGACAAAAATTGATAATTAGACAAAGGAAAGAAGAGTAAAACTTGATATGATGAACTATACCAAAATTAAAACTTCTGTGCATCATATAACAAAATTAATAGAGTGAAAAACATCCTATTTATTTTGAGAAAATATTAGCAAATCAAATATAACAAGGAATTAATATAAAAAATATGCTAAGAATTCCCACCATTTAACAAAAACAGCAAAAAATGAAAACAAACAGTAAACCAATGACCCAGATTTAAAATGGGAAAAGGTCTTGAATTGACTTATCTCCTAAGAAGATATTCAAAGAACTAGCAAGCACATAAAATGAAATTAAACATCACTAATCATTAAGGAAATGGAAAGTCAAAACTAAGTTTTACCACATAATAACAGTTTAGATGACCAAATCCTAAAAGAACAACATCAAACAAAACAAAATAAAAACCAGAAAATATCAAGTATTGATAAGGGTATAAAGAAATTGGAACTTTTGTGCTCTATGGGGATGTAAACTGGTTGTTCCATTGCAGAAATTGCTCTAAAAATTACCATGTGATCTAGTAATTCTACTTCTGTATATACATCCAAAATAATAGAAATCATGTTCTCAACAAAATATATATACATCCGAATTCATAACAGCATTGTTCAAAATACCCTTATAGTGGAACACTATAATTAATTAATCACATATCCTTCAACAGATGAGTGGATAAACAAAACGTCATATACATAAACAGCAAAATATCATTCAGGCTTAATATATTCTGTTGTATAAATGAATCCTGAGGCTATTATGCAAAGTGAAATAAACCTTTCACAAATGAAAAATACTGTGTGGTTCTACTTATGTGAACTACCTAAAATAGTCAAAATTATGATTTTAGGCAGAATGTTGAATGGTGATCACCAGAAGCTGGGTAGTTGGGGATTGTAGAATTATTATTTAATGAATACAGAGCTTTGCAAGATGAACAGGCTTCTGGAGATAGATAGTGGTTATGGTTATATAATATAAAGTTACTTAATACCACTGAATTGTATACTTAAATATGGTTTAGAAAGTAAAGCTGTGTATTTTAATTATTTTTTTAATTTAAAAGTATATGATACAAACCAATATTTTCAGAGAAATATGATATATGTTATGTTTAGTTACCAAAAGAATTGAGGAAAAGAGTTTTATGTGACTAATATTAATCTCATTAAAGACTTTAATTTCACAAATTTCATTCTGTGTTTCACTGTCCATTGCACTATAGAATAATATACATAGGGTAGGAAATCTGTTTGAAATAGAATCCAATTGTCAAAGAATTATTTGAAATAAAATCCATTTTCATTTCCCAGGTTATTTATATAAGAATTTACTCCATTTCACTTAGAAAATTATTATTCCTATGGTAGTTTACTTTTACTCTAACTTATATGCTAATTGGAAAATATTAATCATAGTTTAGGAGAGTAATATTTAATATGTAAATCCCTGTCATGAGCCATCCATGGGCTGTGTGTGTTAGCTATGCTCATTTGAGTATATGAGGGGACTGGTCTGGCATTAAGTACTTTGGGGGCTGTGTGACCTATGTGTGCCTTTTCTCTCACTCTGCCTGTGATTTCATACAGCACCTGGGATGGGTGTGGCTTTCCAAGATGTCCAACCTGCTGACCACAAGACATCACCAAGCAAGGCTCCACCCTTCAAAACCCAATCTCTTGCCTTATTTGGGTGGATTTTCCCCAATAAATACGGGGATTTCAGGTATGCTTTCTCTCTTGCCTCTCGCCTCCCTTGCTCCCCTTACCTTCCAGTGTGGGAGCTGAGGTCTCAGAACCGGCCCTGAACACCAAAACAGGTATTTCTGTATGTGTGTGTGTGTGTGTGTGTGTGTGTGTGTGTGTGTGTGTGTGGTTTTCTAGTTGCCAGCCCATCCAGTTGGTGACAAATCCCCAAATAAATCTTCAGAATAAAAATGAGATACAGACAGATGGTTTTCAAATTTTTGACTACTAGGCTTTGTGAAAGTTTCCTCGGGGACTTCAGCTGGGCAGCTGGGAGCCATGGAGTGGTAGCCAATCTCTAAGTGTTTGTATATTGTTTCCTACTTGTCATTTTTGTTCTATAGTATTTTACTATATTGGGACTCAGCTTCTCCTTAGTGTTTTTTTTTTTTTAATAAAACTGCTGTTCTAACAGATGGAATCATTCCTTGTTAAAAACACCAAGAAAAAGTCCCACAATGGGAAGAATTAATAAGAAAGAGAATGATTTATTGAATGTAAATATTTGCAGTTAATTACATGGAAATTTTTCCATAGTATTTAGACTTTAGGTTTACCAAGAAAAAACTTTTGATATGTCATTTTCATGTTTATAGAAAATCTCACACCATAAGGCATACAAACTTTCTGAGAGCATTAATTTGTGATCAAGACAGTAAATCAAGGACTAGTCAACTATAACAAAATTAAAATGCAAACTTTTCTGGTATAATGAATGTTAGTATATTTTTTATACACCTAGAATCCTTTTCTGAAGTAAAATATAAAGAATATTAAAATGTCCAGCATAGCACTTGGCATTTTATTATTTAGTAAATGAACTGCCTGCAAAATCAGGATCACCAGTTATGGCCAACCTCTTGCAATACTATGGCCTTGTCATATCTATTTATTAAAACATTTTCCCTTTGTTACTATGTATTTATTTATATTTCCTTTCTCCAGCATCACTATCTCATTAATATAAGAATCATAGAACAGTCCTTTTTGATAATACATAGAACTTCCACCCTAAAGATGTTTATTGTTCACCTTCTCCCTAAGTCAATATCACTTATTTTACATATATTTTCTCTTTACAACATCTAAAATGCACAGAGCTAGAATAAATTAATAGATTACCCCCAAAATGCACCACATAGCAGCAGTGTTATGTTCAACACAATGTAATTTAAGCAAATAAATGCTCTATGAATATCTGCTGGTGCATGTTAATTCCTTAGTCATACCGAGGAGTTGAATAGTTTAAAGAAATGGGTAAGTAAGGAAAGCACTTCTATCATGGTCCCTCACATTTCCTTGTAATCTTGTAAGTTCATTTTTAATTCTAGCACTTGATTTTAAACCTTCATAACTTTGCATTTAGAACCCAAGAATTTCATTTATTTTGCACTTGTCTCCTGATTCTTGGCTTGAGGCAGAATTCCAGGGATACTGACAATGAACTAAAACAGTAAGTACAAAGTCCCATCTGCTTGTTTCATAAATTTCTGTGGTTTGAAAAGGTAGGACATTTATTTTAATCTTGATTATCAAGAAAAGCTTCGTGGAAGATATGGCTTCTGATCTTTGCCTTGAGACCTGACAAGGATTTTAGTAAGTGAGAAATATCAGAAAAGCATTCAAGGCTAAGAGGAAGACATGGGCACAGACATGGATAAATGAAAATATAGAGAGTGTCAATGTAACAAAGATTAATTTTAGTTGACTAAAAGGTTGAATGTAAGAAGGTTCATGATAAAATTTGGAAATGACAGCTTTTGGCAGAAGAATATAATGATTGAGAGTTCGAGGTTTGGAAACAAAAAGAATATAAGTAAAATAAAAAGAATAACACCTGTTGGAAGGATTCACTGAATATATTAATGAAAGGTTGATTACAGAATCTAGTAAAAAAGACCTCACCAAATGCCATATATTTACTTTACTTTTATTTTATGACTAAAGATTTATTCTTTATGAAAGTTTATATCGTGAAAGTTTTATACAAACAAAAGAGAAACTTTCTCTATATACAAAGAATTTAATGTGTTCTATTATGTTAAATAATAGGAAAAACTTGGTGGCAATAAAAGAGATGATAGATAGATACTAGAAAAGCAGATTAATAGGCATAGATTAAGTAGATAAATCAGATAGCCAGATGATAGATTGAAGTTGGGACTATAAAGAAATTAGAGGGATAAAATAAATGTATTTTATTCCCAAAGATCAAAATAAGTTTATAAACACTAAAAACAACCCAATTTTTTGGAGGTGTCTGTACAATGAATACTCATATGCCTAGAAGCATGTTAATCATATTTCCTGAAAATAAATTCCAAGCATATATTCTCTTAATTGAACAGAATATTTAAAATGAAGACTATCCAGACAAATCCAAGATATATTTTCAAGGTCACATTGTAGATGAAAACAATAATGAAAATGCCTTTATGTGTAAGTAAATAACCACATTTGAAGTGGTGCCAACCCCTAAAAGGATGATCTGTCATAAACTGTGTTATTACAAAGTTGAATATAATGATAATCCTAAGAACTCCTACATAGTTGAAAATTAACTATATTTAAAGACATTGTAAAGGGGGTGTATCTTGAAGAACTAAAATAAATCTTGAAATGGCATCAAAGAGTGAAGAGAAGTCAAAATATAGAATTTCTAACAATACATTTATATGATCCCTAGAGGTATTTGGGGGGAAAAAAGGCACTTTTTGCTTCAGAGTGACTCCTAAATATAACCACTCTTCCCTATATTGTTGAAATAGAGAAGGCAGCCTTGCCCAAGCGTTCACAGCAACTCATTTGTGGATCCAGTTATATCCTAAATTGTCCTTGTTCCTCAAACTAGGAAATGAAATAGACCTTAAGGTATGCTCTTTGGTTCCCTTTATTGAACTTTTTTTCTGTCCCCCTCCCTCAATATTCTCAGTCTTTCTTCTGAAAAGATTCTTTCCAAATTTACTGAGATCTTTCAAAGGCAAGAGGTACAATGGTTTTGAAAAGAAGAGCCAGATAAAATTTCTAAAATGAAAGATGGGAAATATTGAGCTCAAATCTTATATTAAATCTCATTTTGTATCATCACATAATAGGATATAACTGATTTTTTTTTTAAAATGCCACATCATATGTGAGGGGCTATTCCTTTTGTAGTCTTTAATATTTATTTGGAAATCTTTGCCAACTTGGAATTGCAGTAACCTATTCTGGGACTATGCTGAGTAAATCATGAAACACATTTAGGTAGAGTCATATTCTGATGTATTTATATTCATAAAAATGACAGTTAAAGCAATAGCATAGATGAAGCAGGATGGAGAAAGTGAAGCAGAAGTGAGAAGAGAGTGGTAGGCGATGTGAAAATGGTCAGGTGTTAAGAAAAGATTCCCCAAACAATCATTTTATTAAATTTGAATTTAAGCATGCATTGCAAATTCAGTGGTGCATCCTTGTAATAACTATCATTAATGTTATTAAATACAAATTCTACACTGCACAATGGTTTTTAATTTATAAATTAGTTTAATATAGATTCTCATTTTAAAATGAGGCCCACAAATTACAAATATTTTACATCAAGAACATAGAAAAGAAGTAAAAGGAAAACATGGTGGACCTATTTGGGTACATTATAATTAAATAAGAAGAAAGAGCTGACTGACATATTACCCAGGTAAATATGGGTAGGTTTTCATGTCTCCTTCAAAAGAAGCTGACAAAATACTGAGTAAATCAGGCCAAATCATTTAGGTAGAGTCACATGCTGATGTATTTATATCATGTTGATAGTTAAAATGACAGTTAAAGTGATAGATAGCATAGATGAAGTAGGACCCAGAAAAGGAAACAGAAGTCAGTAGGAAGTGAGGGGAGAGTGGTGTGAAAGTGGACAGGTGGTAAGAGAAGATGCCCCAAACATTAGCTGGAGCATTACCTTTTTTATTCAGCAAGGGAAGATAAGTATATAGAATTACAAAGGAAAACTGCAGATTATGTGATGTATAGTTTGGGTATTCAGTTTTGTGTGTGTGTAATTTTCTTATTCTTATAATGACATTATCCACAGTAATGAACATCAAAGGAGACCTATGTACACTGCAAATACTCTGGTGAGTGCTTTCTAATCTTCATAACAACTCTTGCGGGTAGCTATGTGGACTCTTCCTATAAAACATGAGAAAACTAAGGTTTAAAGAAGAAAATGTTTTACATAGGTATACAGCTACTGAGAATAGCAAGATTCGAAAGATTCTTCTCATTCTATGGCCTGTTATTGTTTCAGCTGTTTGCTTTTATTGTGTGGCTACTTGATGAAAAAATTGGTAAAATACTTTTCAAATTATATCAAAATCAGAGAAACTGGAGCTAGACATCTTAATGTATTGTCTGAACTTTTGTCCATCAAATGATATTATATAAAATAAAATATGACTGGAAGCTTTGCTAGGAGCCTCCTAAGACCACTTAAAGACTGTGCTTTTCACTAAGTTAGCTCATTTATTTTTAACTACAATGGGTGACTTGTATACATAAAGCACCGTGACAGACATTTTGATACTTAAAAAAGAATATTTTAAGGACTAAGAACCGTACTATGGGATAAAACCACTGGAGATTGTTGTTATATACATTATTATTATTATTATCATCATCATCATTGTTATTTTGCAGTACTGGAGCTAGGGATCAAATCTCAGGGCACACATGCTAGGTAAGCACTGAGCCATGAACTACATCCAAAGCCCTAGAGGATCAAACTGTATTAAAAAAAAGAAAAGAAAACTAATTTTTGATGAAAAACAAAACTTGTGGAAAATAATCACAAATGACACATTGTAGAAATGCAGAGAAAGATATAATTAATAGTAACTAAGGAAATTACATCTTTAAAAAGTAAGTAACATTTGAAGGCACTAAAGTGTTATCAATTTTGCAAAAACAGTGAGAAATGAAAAATTCTGGGAAGGAGGGAAAAACATAGACATTAGAAATGTCATCACATCAGTTTTCTTACTTGCACCATGGTGAGAAAAACTCAGAGAACTATAATGATCAAAACGAGTGCTGAATATGAATGTAATGTTCAAAAAAACATAGAGGTGTACCTACTGTTGGTACTATAGTTGCTACAGTTAGAGAAAGTAATGGGATGATGTTGTAACTATTCTAGTATACTTGGAAAATATACTTAACAAGAAAATTTAATAACATAAGTCTCTATAGTGAACAATAAAATGTGGTATGATTTAAGGATAGAGTATAATCTAAATGGAGTGGAAAAGGAGATATCACTATGAGATATGATCTGTGATTGTTTTAGAAAGATTAATCTAGGCCATATGATGGAGGATCTTAATATAATACTATAGAATATAAAATTTATTTTCTGGATTAATGACAAGGCTTTGGGAGAGGAAGAAAAGAGATTGAATTTTTGTTTTAAAAGCACTTATTTTATATTTTTATGAATATACTTAACAATTAATGGTATGTTTTATATGTTTTAGTTCATAGTATTAATTTGATAATCTTGGAAAAGTAAAAAGGATCCATAATATTTCATACACTTTGTAGATAAGGAAATGGAAACCTTAAGGTATTAGCTGGTTTTCATACCAATAAGCTCTTATATGGTAGAGCCAGCATTTAACCCAGTCATCTAACTTTACATCTAGACTCTCTGAATTATATATTCATTTATTTCACTTCTTTCTTTAGTAACTACTTGGTGCATGAATGTAATTATTGTCAGTGATACAGTCACAGTCCATGCCATGATACAGTTTATAGAATAGCAGCAGAGAGAATGAAATATTTAGGCTTTATCCTCTCCTGCAGCCTCCAGAAGTAATGCAATACTAATGGTGTGTTAATTTTAGTCCAGTAAGACCCATACTGACCTGACCTACAGAAGAGTAAGACAATCAAATTAGTGTTATGTTAACACATTAAGTTTTGGTAACTTGTTAGAAAGTTACCAAACTCTAACAAGAAATAGAAAACTGATATCAAAACAACAACAGAAAACTGATATCAATTCCTAAATAAGGAACTTCAATATAAGAATAAGAATTATGCAATATGGAAACAATATTACCCATAGAAGGACTCATACACGTAGAAGACTCAGAGCTGAGAGTATGCTAATTGTTATTAAGATCATTAGAATTAAAAGGAGGAAAATGATCAACAAAACACAGTCAGAATATAAAAAGGCAAAAGATAAAACAAATGGCAAGGAGCAGATCCTGTACTGACCTCTAAAACCTAATAAAGTTGATGGATTTCATCTTGATTTCAGTGCAAAAGCATTTAGAAGTTATAATCAGGGAAATAATATAAGGATTGCATTGAAGAAAGGTCACAGTAGCATCAAGATAAACGTTTAGAAGTTCGGAGTGAAGGGAGAAGGTAAACTGTGATGGAAGTATTAACAGTGAATTCGCTATAAGGAAAGTTACTGAAGATTTTGATGGAATGAAAAATTTCACACACAAATATAATGAATTTGAGTAAAGTTTAAAAACAATAAACAGTCATGGAAAAATCAAGGGGATGATTGAAATTAAGGTGAGATATCATGAAGGGTCTGTGAGAAAAAGTGATGTTTGATCTGGAAGTAGAGAGACTAAGAGGAGTTAAGATTTTTCTGGAGTGGTGTAAATAAGAGGAAGAAAGACTCTAGTATAGAGCACAAATATTCACCATAATAAAAGGTTTATGTTTTCAGAACAAAGTTGGTGACAATATTTTATATTTTAAATGGAAAGCATGTGTAGGTCATGACAAAATGAAGAGTGTAACCTAGAAAATGACTGTTCAAGTAAAAAGAAGTGCATAAGTTACTGAACATGAAAATGCAGAGAAACTAAGAGACTAGTATATGATATGTGTCACATAATGGATTCTTGAAATAGCTTCAGATAATAGGTAAGACTTGACTGTAGAGGGCCAAGAAACACATCTTCAGGAAATGTCATAAAATAATCTGTAGGACAGTGGATTATAGTGTTGAGGAGTACACAGACAGTAGAATTAGAATTAAATTTTTTTATGCCAGCCGAGCATTTCATTTAAGGACAGAGGATCTCTCACTGAAGAAGTAATAATATGGTAGTGAATTTAAGGAAAGTAATGGTGTGTAAGAATAGCTTTTTCTTTTTGTTTGGGTGCAAATAGCTTCAGTGGAAAGCTAGAGGTCAAGTGCAATACTAGGGAGTAAAGATCATTGAGAGAAAAAAAATTACTACAGGGGAAGTTTATTTATTATGAATTTCAAATCCAGAAGGCATTGGGGGAAAGTTGAGGAAGGATGAGATTAAAGAGACATTGCTGTAGGAAAGAAGTAGCACATTAACATCTAAGAGAAGAGCAGAGATAAAGTGACTTGAGTATATTGAGATGGACAGCACTGGCTCACAGTGGCTTTTGAAGGATGCAACACAAAGTCTAGACAGTATAGGAAGGAAGACTTGCTAGGAACTCTTTAAATAAACCAACTGATAGATAAGTAAAATAAAGTCATATGTGGAATAGAGGGGGAAAAGGAAATAAATGACTATGTAAAGTGAGAGAAAGTCAATAAGAGAATAAATTCTCTCCACTACATCACTATCATCTTACTTTCTCAGGGAGTATGTCCTCTGAGTGTGAATGTAAGCTGTGCTGGTATAAAGCTGATATTATCACTGATTCCTATATTCTTTCTTTGAATAGAAAAGGAGAATCATTACATATTTGACTCTATCAAGTTTACCAACAATAACCTGGAGATATTAAAAAAGGAATAGGAGAAAATTCTGATGTACTATTTTAAGAATTTATGAAGATAATGTTAATATAGGAACAGACAAGACAGAATGTAAGGTTTTTTTCTTTGTTTTTTTTTTTTTTTTAGATGAGTGCTAGGGATTGAACTCAGAGGCCTTAACCACTTAGCCACATTCCTGTTCTATTTTGTATTTTATTTAGAGACAGGGTCTCACTAAATTGCTTAGCATCTTGCTTTTGCTGAGGCTAGCTTTGAACTTGCAATCCTCCTGCCTTAGCCTCCTAAGTCACAGGGATTACAGATATGCACTACTACACCCAAAAGAATGTAAATTTGCAATGTGTAGATTTTGTCATATAGTAAGTCTAAGAGGTTGAGAAAATCACAGAAGACATAGCCACCACCTAATCTGGAATTTTTTCTGGAATTTAGAGTTTAAGTGAGGGATTAATCTACATTCTTCAGTACTATGAGTGGTAGCAAAAGTTATTTGAGATAAATGATGACCTAAAAAGAGAAAAAATTAAGAAGAAAAGTGACTAAGAAAAACAAAGCAGTAATAACATTGTCCATTAAAGGTGTAGACAGCTAAAACAATGGAAAGAAAGCTATAAAATTGTCAAAGGCTTAGTTGGAAACTGGTAATGAAACCTTTGAAGATAGCTATTAACCTTGGTCATATATCACAATGTAGCAAAATGATAACTGGAAATATTAATTAAAGACTCCATTCCATGTACTTTTCCAAATATGATAAATATTTTAATTAACCGCGTCTTTGTGGCACCAGTCGCTAACGGATCATCAAAACCATCTCCTTTTTGTTTTTGTTTTCTCTGAGCACACATATAGGCATCATTTCTCCATCTCTCTTGGAATAAATGTGGCTACATAATGGAGTCCTAGCTAACTGAATATGAATGGAAACAGTCCACAATTCCCAGTATTGATTAGTGAAAGTCCAAAACAATCTTCCATGCACTGCTCTTAAAGGCAGCCTCTAGAAAGTTTGATCATTTGAGAAATAGAAAGGTGTGGGGCAAAACCACAAATAGAGTAGATAGTGAGGGAGAAAAAAAGTTTAGGGAGATAAACATAGCACTGGATGGAAATGTGATAAAAACACAATAGACAAAGAAGCCATAAACTCAGATCAAAGGAAACAATAATCATGAGAAAACTTTTAACTATTTAAAACTTTAAAATCTTTAACAGCTTAAGCCTTAAAACAATCCTCCAAATCCAAACCAGAATAAACAAGAAGCTGAGATTTTTCTAAGGAGCAAACTCTGCCTAATGTCCATTGCAGATGTGGCCATGATAGCAATAGATAAGAAAAATCC